CTCTTGCATGAGAAATTTGACTTTCCGATAGCTTCGGTCCTTCGGACCCCCCCCCCCCACACGCGCGCGTGCAACTCGCAAGAATGAGGAAATTTTGTATTTTTCCGCATTATGTAAATTAGCCCTCCCGGACCCCCAAAAATGAATAAAACCGGCTCTAACTTTGTAAAATTGTATTTTATCGTAATTCTAAGAGCGCCATCCGAAACAGGAGGGTCGATTCCCCCGGGTGACGGAGAATTGGGCGGTTTTGAACACGGGAAGGCCCTCAAATCGGGCCTCGAAACTGACATCCACACACACACACACACAAAGATACACGCCAAAATTATATAAGGTAGGATTTGTAGCTCATTTGTGCCTAGGCTTAGCTCAGCTTAGTTGGAAGCAAGGCATGCTTAGGCTTAGGCCTGTGTTGAGGGGGGTAGAGTTGCTTTGGCAAACTAGGTACGCTTAGGTTTTGGGTTAGACTCAGGCCTGGGCCTGCGTCTGCTTTGGCTTAGCCGAGGCTTAGGCATGCGTAGGGGGAGGCTCAGGCGTAGGTATGCTTCGACTCGGCTTATTTTTGGTGAAGCCTAGTGATGGTCAAGCTCAGGCTTAGGTATGTTTAGGCTTACAAGGGAACCTCAAGTTGGCACGGTGGAGTTTCGAAAAACGCTCGCGGCTACCCCTAGGTTTTCGCCTATGGCGATTCCAACCCTCTAGTCAGAATTTCCTAAATGGGCCTGTGGACAGAGATACAGCACTTCCGGAAAATGATGATTTACATCTAAAAATTAGCATTAGCGATAGGTTTATGAGGCTCTCCCATCACTATGGAATCACCAGTTGAATGGCCGATTGGTAAGCGACTCACTTGATAGGATATTGACGAGGGTTCGAATCCGCTCACGATTTTTTTATTTTGCTTTTTGACCAGAACTTTCTGCCCAACTCCAAGTTTTGGTTACTTCTCTCGAAACAAATGCAAAAAATCTCATCCAAGTAAATAATCGAGGCCCCTCTGTAAAAAAACGGAATATGGGTAGACCCCCTTTTTGAATTTCGAGAACGAGTTTTCAGGATTCTTGGGAGTAATCAGTCTGGGGCCATAACAATCATTTTTCCTAGAATAAAAATAAAAATTTGGAGTTGGGCAGAAAATTCCGGTCAAAAAGCAAAATAAAAAAATCGTGGGCGGATTCGAACCCTCGTCAGTATCCTATCAAGTGAGTCGCTTACCAATCGGCCATTCAACTGGCGATCCCATAGCGATGGGAGAGCCTCATAAACCTATCGCTAATGCTAATTTTTGGATGTAAATCATCATTTTCCGGAAGTGCTGTATCTCTGTCCAGAAGCCCATTTAGGAAATTCTGACTTCACCGTTGGAATCGCCATAGTCGAAAACCTAGGGGTAGCCGCGAGCGTTTTTCGAAACTCCACCGTGCCAACTTGAGGTTCCCTTGTTAGCCATAAGTCATGCCCAGGGTTTAGGTTAAGCGTAGCCTTAAGTTGAGCTATGAAGGAAGAAAAAAGATGGCGAAAAACTGTCATATTTTCAGTCCAAGCCGACACTGAAGGCTACTTGGGGAAGAAAACTGCCGAGAATCCAAGATCAGTTGTTGCTGCTGGATACGCTAACTGGCGAGACCCCGCTGCAATACATCACGGGATCCACGGCCGACGACTCGCTCTTGGTCAGCCTCAACCGAATGCTTAAGCTGTTGAAACTTTAGACGACCTTCTGCATGCGTCTCCCAAGCAGCCATCAACACCAAGTCCATGCGCATCGCTACCTCTATGCAGCCTTGATCAGTGCTCGTTTACCCTCGGGTAATCGTTCAATCAACGGTTTCAACCAACGAACCCGCCAACGGCGCAAAATTTTCGGTTCTGAATTGTTTGCGGGAGAGATCACTACCGTTAACAGTCAAGAACCCTATTTTCTACAAAATGGGTTGATTCTGGCACTTTTCGGCTCGTTTAAGGACTTGCGAAATTATGAACTGACGCGCTTCCGCATTGTGTTTGAATTTATTTGATAAAGCTTTACCGATTCCGACTATTTGATACTTTGATGGGAAATTATTTTAGACTCGCCTTCGTTGCCGAAATCCACCCGGCGGCTACTCATCTTCGTTGGGACGCATCGGGCACAGCGAAATCCCTGCGTAAAGCTGGCGGAGTTTCGGTCAGAAGTGTATGTTTCTCCCATTTTAATGTCAAGGATAAATTATCGCTGAATTCGGTGTTTTTGGAAATAAAGTACCCCCAAATGCTAGCATGGTCTCTTCGAGTATTTCATTGTAGGTGGAGCAAGCTATCGGGGAGACATTCCGGCCGCACAACTGTTGGAGTGTCATTTCCGGTGCTCTCTCACCGGCAGGCTTGGAAGCGATTCAAAAAATGGTAGCTAATTTATACGTTTGGTCTGCTTTAAAAAATGAGTTGATTTTAAATTTTTGACTAACATCGCATTTTCAGGCCGAAGCCTCACAGACTTCCGGAGATCCGTTCCACCTACAGCTAGGAACACAAGACCCGCAAGACCCAGCACGAGTTCGTGTTGTCAACATTGACGGCCTTCCAGGAAAAAACTTTGGAATCATGTGTTGGTGCGTATCAGGTGTTATGTGTTATCGTATTATGTGGGGACGGGAGAAAAGGTTAACAGGCTGCTGAGTATTCAGCCGAAACGCGCCGTGGTACGCCGATTTGGGTATCGATTTTACTTTATCATACACCAAAAGGCCAGGGCTGAAAAGACGCGACTGGGCTGTGGGTTATCTCTCTAGTCTCTGTGGGTTATCCCCACCCGGGCGCCACCTGGTCCACTAGCCCCAAACCGGGCACCTAATCCAAATTAAGAAAACACCCGTTCTTTCACACCAATATGCCATTTTCGAGGGTAAAAGTCGCTTAACGGGGGGGGGGGGGGGAGAAATAACGGGGGTGGAAACAACTTTCGTATTTCTAAAAGTTATCAGGCTAGTTTGGATGCGTAAACGGTTAGAGTGCTAAAAGTCATACGAAGAAATTGACTTTCAGCCCGAAAATATGAAATAATTGAGCTTTTTGGCTAAATAGAGTATTAATGTTAAATCATGGTATTTCGGTAATGGTAAATTAAATCTCTTAGTATATTTTTTTGTAGGTTTATCGAAAGGCAGGAAAGAAATTTTGGAAAAATACCGAAAATTTCCCAGTTAGGCTTACACGCTACGTCCCAAACTAGAAGTCACGTTCACCCATGTGTTTGCCGTAACGATGTTGGTTCACATTTTTGAGCCGAACTTATTCGAATGGAAAAATAGCTATTATATGTAAAACTAGCGTTTCACCGGCATTTTCAAAGGTTATTTCTATCCTGTGATAACTTTTTTACATAGCTGTAATTATAAGATCGAAGTATGTTCTTTAATGGCCCGTCCATTGTAGTCTGGCGGAGTAAAGTCTGGCTCAAATCAGCTATTTTCGCTATTAAATAGTATTAAATGCTATTACTATACAGCTATTTTTGATTTCCTGGCACACCCCCCCCCCCCGCGCCAGACAATTGGTGTTAACCACACTTTGGGCGGTAAATGTCGCTTAATGGGGTACAAATAACGGGGTGGAAATAATTTTTGTATTTGTCTATTTAGGAGGCTGCCCCCGCCGACGCAGGCGCTCGGCGCTCGGCGCTTGCAAGTGAGCTGCTGAAAGAGGAGCTGGCCGAATCTCTACGTCATGGTAAAGCTTCCAAGTTTATACATCATTTTTAATTAAGCCATCCCGGAAATCGCCGCGCGCCCGTTCATCTGCGACGACCGCTTTCCTGGCTGTCTAGTAATTAATTGCCTTCAGCAACGTGCGCGACGAAACCGAAATGCTCACCATCGCCACGACGTGAGAGCGATGTCAACTTTTATTATTCTAAAATTCCTTTTAGCCTGGAGACGGAACTCGGCCAGTTTCGCCCAGTCCATGGGCACGACACGGTCGAGCGATGGCTACACAAGTACCAGGACGGAGAATTTGCCCTTGCGAGATCTCAGCTTCTCTGGCGGCGTGCCCGCTCCACCGGAAGCTCCGCTATCGGCGTCATCGGCCCAATTATAGACGAGGTATGCCCCGGGTAGAGATATACTAATTACTCTATTAATAGATGCGTTCTTTGAACAAACTTCGCCGCAAGCCAGCTAGTTTCTGGGACGACCTCGCCAAGGGCATCTTCGATCAACCGTCCTGGAAGGCGCTTGGCTTCGGAACGAAAGCGGAGGGGCAGTCGATCAGCAGCAAGGCCCTGCTCTTCACCAGCACCTTTGAGCCGCGCCTCCAGGTTCCGTTTACTTTTCATTACTTCCGGGTGGAGGGAGGGCAACGGGAGCAGTTTTCAGCCCCACCAAAAGAGACGTCGTTCCCCTTAATATGAAAACGTTCGCTCAGTGATGGATTGTGGGGTTCAGTGGTAGATGCTCTAAATGTGTCTTGAACCGCAAACGGGCGTCTTCTGCTTTGGCGCATGATCATCGACAGCTACGTGTGACTCCAAATAACGGGCACGTCTCTGGCGATGATCAGCCGCCAAAAAGGGTCAATTGACCATACCAGAAAGGAGCAAGGGGCAAAACGCGGCAAAAGGCAGTCATAAACTATATTATTTGCAGACAAAACCAGCGAAAAATGGAGGATGGGCCAAGCTGCCGCCAATCAAGGGCCCCCTCACCATCCGGGAGACGATCCGTGGCATCGAACCCTTCCGACACACCATCGGCTTCACCGACGAAGACACGTTCCTCGTTAGCTTAAAAAGCATAGTTGAGATCCTTCATTTTTAGGCTACCCTCTGTCTCCTTCTACCGTCCGCCACGCAACAAATCCACATCAACCGCTTCCTCCATGCAGCCCTTCTGCGGTCTCGATTGCCGGAAGGTAAACGCTTGAGCAGCCTTCTAAACCGAGGAAAAGTCCGCTTGGGAAAACATTTAATTTTTTTAGGTTCGACCTGCCGATATATTCCGGGTGAACAAAATGGAATGTTTGTGCTATGGTGGAATGATGATGTCTGGGAGCCCGACCAGCCCGGGCGTCGCGAAGAGTGCGTTTTGTTTTGATTTGATGCTTACTTGTTAGAAATGGAGGATTACGGGTTGCATTCATAACGTCGAAACGCTAAATGGCGAAATTCAAAATGTTGAAATTTCAAAATGTCGAAATTCAGAATGCCGAAATTTACATAAGTTCATTTTCCCGGCAAACCCCCGAATCCTATGCAAAATTTTTTTGAAATGACATGGCATTTTTGACATTCTGAAGTTTCGGCATTATGAAATTTAAAAATGATGAAATTTCGACATTCTGAAATTTCGAATATGAATTTCGACATGACGATAGCAAATCAGGATAACAGGGTCATGACGCTTTTTAGAATCGAAACGGCCGCCAATTGTCTGTCCGCGCACCGAAACGCCGAACGCTCGTACAAAAGGTCGCAAGTCCAGCTGCTAGAAGATCAACTGGAGAAACGTGTACGCTTGATCATGCCTGAAGATGGCATTGCGCAGTTGCATATGACGACAAACGACAGAATCATCGAGATGTTACACAAGGTTTGGGATTTTGATATTTTGTCAGTCGGTATTTTGTAATCCGAGATTGTGATCAGCAGTGATTCCACAAGCAAATTTTTCGAAAAATGATTTTGGAATAGATGATTTTCGACTTTTGCAATTTGAAAAGTCAGGTGATAACGAATCAGATTTTAACCATTGGAGATCCTGCCATTCGATAGTTTTGTCAGTTGATGTTCTGAAAGGTTACCGTTTGGAAGCCTATTCAGGTCTGGAGTTGATCCGAGCCGGTTCTTTCGCATTAGCGGTGGGGGGGAATAAATTTTTTCTAAAGTACCGAAATCCGAGATCGACCAAAACTTCTGTGGCTTTTGTTTTCAACTTAAAAATACAGCTTAATATGGGGAAATTTTACTAAATACACCAAAGAAAATTGCCCTCCCCCCGATAATGCGAAAGAACCCAAAATCCTTTAGCTGGACCTTGAGACCAAGCGTGGGATCCCGATATCCTTCGTCACGGGGGTCACGTCTCCGTACCGTTCGATGCATGACGCTGGCAAAAGAACTCGCGACGAGTTTCTTTGACAAGGAAACGGAAGCGCCTGAGAAGGTAGCTTAATTTCGGAAAATTTTTAGTAGTTGTGATTTAGTATGAGACACCCAAATGGACCCCGCTCAAAGAATCGATCGTGGCCGAAGCCCGGGGCGCGTCGACGACTCTGATGGAAGTGGGTATCCGTTTTTCGCGAATTGTTGAACTCCGATGTGGATAACACAAAATTTTATGCTACGCCAAGGCTAGGGCAGGGGGAATAACGGGGCGACGGAATCTAGGTTCGTCTGGTTGTGGTTGTTAGTGGGGGGGGTTTGTCCCATAATTTCCAATATTTCGCTTTTTTTGATTGAGGTAGCGCCAAAATTCCGAAACCACAGTCCCGGCACCATAATACCGACAGCCAAAATCCCGACAGCCAAAATCCCGACCGGCCAAAATCCCGACAGCCATAATCCGGACACCCAATGCCGGCAAGCCTGCAGGGTATAGCGCCCCCACGACCTTAAAGCGCCTACTTCATGGATACGATGAATTCGAGGCGAGATCGCGAAAAGCGTTTAGTCTTCATACTTCCCGTCATCACCACCGATTTTGGCCGTCGGGATTTCCGGTGTCGGGGTTTAGCAGTCGGGATTTTGCCTGTCGGTATTTCGGATGTCCGGATTTTGGCTGTCGGGATTTCGGATGTCCGGATTTTGGCTGTCGGGATTTTGGCCTATCCGGATTATTGTCAGTATTATCGCTGGAATTCTTCTTGGGATCTTCTTGGAATATATCGTACGTGAATCTAGAATCTCAACTGGTTATAGAAAAAAGGGTGCTAATGCACTTGCGGGGGGCAGTCCGAATTTTGACTACAAGATGCTCCAAGTGCTGTTCCTCTTTTTATCAGTCGCTATTCGGTAAAATTATCGGTGGGAAGCCCATTTTTGCTTTATTCAATAAAGCATTAGTTTTTTTTGTAGGAAATGCACATACGTACGAGTTACCTTTCGGGTATACAGTACCGTATGCTGGTCTGATTGTAGCCAAATCCACCCTAAAACCTGAAGATTTCGTGAAACAGTTGCTTTTTATTCAAGTCTCCTTTACCTGGCTTACATCTCTAAAATAGCTTAAAGGTACCCCTATATTATTCTGCTTGCAGGCCTTGGCACGCAGCCGGAAACCGACAGTTACTGGGCAAGGCTGATGCTCATCTCGGCGCCAACCCCCTGCAACCACCAGGATTGAGCCACAATCCGTCGACACCCCGCCCGTCTTCCTGCTCGAATTTGAAGAATTTACCTTGGAAATTTTATTTGAATAAATGAATTGCTCGTTCATTTAAATGTGTCTTTTTTGTAATATTTCGGAGCTTATGCACTGTAGCTCAGCAACAAGCTCCGAATTGCTGCAACCGGGGATCATTTGGTGTTGATGACTATAAAAAATTGTTGTGAACCGGCCAAGCAGCATCTGGTTTCGTGGTAGCCTGCATTTCGTCCCGCGCTTTTTTTCCGCTTACTCATTTTCCTCCAAAAAAGGCCGCCAGCTTTCGGGCACGCCTAGGCGTACGCGAAACTTTTAATCCGCTCCCCGAAGGTGATAAAGGCGAGTGGTCGATAAATTGGGCATCACCTGGCGCGCCGGCGATGAAGTCGTTAATTTTATTCTCTTTGCTTCTAAAATTGGCAGTTGCTGGTGTTTGCCCGGCAGGATGGGTGGCGGTGGATCAACAGTCGCTGTGTTTATTGGCCGTGAAAGAGGGTATAGCTCCCGGGGTTGTAGGTCTTTCAAGCTTGAAGTTCAGCCACCCCGTATGCGTACGCTATTGATGGATGCGAAAACCTGGGTGCGGATATTGTCAAAATTACGGATGCTTTTTACAACCAGATCGTGAATGGGCAAGGGAAAGATGGTAATATTAATTTTTGGTGTGATTTTATGGAATTTTAGCCCTAAATGGTCAGCCAGGTTTTATTGGCGTCGAGAAGTTCCCGGATGGAACTTGGATTTATACGGATGGATCGACGTTGAATTATAAGAACTGGGATGATGGTGTGTAGTTTTGGGAGGGCTAGCGCAAATCTTCACTTCCATAACGTTTTCCAGGGCTTTTTCGTGATTTGTTAGCGCGATACACTTGTTTAGTATTCTGTTTAGTTCTCAAGAATATTTTCATTCAGGCTTTTCAATCTTTTATGATATCATCTTTATTAACTCGTTAAGGAGAACCAAACAATGCGAACGGCTGCGCTGTTCTCGATCCTTCATCCGGCAAATGGAAAACGAAAAATTGCAAAGACTCGGCGCCGTATTACTGTCAGAAGGCAATGTCCGACGGTAGGTTCTTGGTTTAAATCTTCTGATGTCGCCTGACTCGGCTAAAAATAGTTTTTAGACCCCAGTTCTTCGTTTCCGACGTGGCCGACAGTTCCGACGACTGCTTACGGTAGTTGAACTTTACAGATATTCCTGCCAAACGTACTCTTTAAAATTCAATATTTCAGTGGCCTGCACGGCGCCGTGGAAACAGTACAAGGACCATTGCTACTTTGTACAGGTTTGTGCCGTTTAGTTGCGGCTTAGTGTGTAATGATTTTAGAGCCTAACGGTCGGCTCGGACGGACTTTGGCTCGCCTGGACCTTCGACGACGCCGAGTCGCAGTGTGAGTCTCGCAACGCCAGGCTCGCTTCAATTCATAGCGATGAGGAGAACGACTTCGTGAATGGTGGGTAGGAGTATTTGGCAAAAACTGATAGAGGGCAATACTTTAAACATGGTAACGCTTGTAGAAAACTAGAGCAGTTATCACATTTAAGGGTTAATTACTACGCACGGCATCATCAACCAAACACAAATGATCCCGGAAGGGATGGGAGCCTGTGGATATGCCTGTGCTTGGATTGGATTGCAGTAAGTTAAATGTATCGCTACACTACGCTCGCTACTATTTACGTAGAAAGTCTTGGGCAGAGGGAGAGAGAGAGGGGGGAGAGAAAGAAAGAGAGGGTGAGAGAGCGAGCGAGAGAGATAGATAGATAGATAGATAGAGAGGGAGTGAGAGAGCACAGAGAGAGAGACAGAGAGAGAGAGAGAGAGAGAGAGAGAGAGAGAGAGATAGATAGAGAGGCAGAGGGGTCAATAGGCGCCCTCGTAGCAAGTACCTGAAAAAAAATGAGAAATGAGAAAACCGAGATTTTATTGCATAACTTCGAGACTTTAGGCTATTCCCCGACAACACTACCGCTTGGACTGACGGAACACCGGTGGATTACCACAAAGGACTGTATCCTGGGCCTGAGAAATATGTCTTCGGGGTAAGTTCACTTCTCAAACTATGCAGAATAATTTTTTTAGATGCTACACGATGAATCGTGCGAAATCGACTGGGAAGGCTGGGGTACGATGGCCATCTCGGCACGTTACATCTGCAAGAAGGGGCTGAATTGGCTGCACTGAACTGTTGAAAGATTTTGGCGCATAAATGATGGTTTTTCTGTGATTTATACGGACGTAGTGAAAAAGCACCACTCCATGACTAAATTGGCAGCTCAAGTTTTCTTGACCGTTTTGCCGACTGGTTTCCAACAAAGCCACGGTCATTTGTAAACAGCGAAAGTCCGGGTAATTGACCCAGAAGCAAGGTAATTTAGCTTCTTGCAGACAGGGTATCGACAGCTCCGCGCTACGCTTCACACTGCTGCAACCACACATTTGTACTTTGCTTTTAGACAAATTTAGTGGGAGAAGGGCTTTAACGTAGCTTGTAGAGGTTCGTAATTTTCGGTGCCGAATCCTTGGTGATTTAGAATCCAGCTGCCTATCTGCAAAGGTTAATATTTTTCCTTGGCTTCCGGAAATTTGGAAGAATCTTTCCGCGCTGTGGTTATCTCAAAACTAAGCACGGTTACTTCGAAAAGGTGAAAATTATGTCTTTTAGTACAATTTTAGATCCCGCATGTCTGGGTCTCTGGGGGGCCTCAGGACGAAGCCTTATATTTTCTAGAAACTTAAGATTCACAAAATATAACAAATCTTCACGCCTATATAGTTTTATGCCACGCAAAAACGGCTCGGAATTTGGAGCCGCTAGGACTTTTACTGAAATTCAGAAGAACATTCAAAGGGCTGTATGTGTTACAGATCGGTTGCGAGGAAGGCCATGCGGTTAATCTTTCATAAATAATATAACAAATTCTCGTTTTTATCTAATTTTAGACCCGGCAAAAAACCACTGGGAATTTGCAGCCGCTAGCACTTCCCGGCGCCCCTTTACCTCTTTGCGCCTTTTCAACCAAAATGTCCGTGATCGTCTGGGCCCTCTACCCTTTGCCCACTATCTCGTCGGCTCACAGGTCAATCGGCCCGGCCCGGCACACACGCACCACTCAGCCCGCACAAACCCCTACGATTTCAGGGCTATAAAACTATGCATTAATGTACAATTTTTATACCTTTTTAAACTAATCTGAATGTGCATTCGATTCTCTATCGAATGAGCTGGAAATTGTAGCTTTAGCCTTGCTAAAAAGCACCCCTTGATCGCTCCCCAAAATAGGCTAAAATTGCTCAGAATTTGGGATCAATTTTCTATCGATTAATCGTCATTTCTGATCGAATTTTTTAGGAAATCAATAGTATACCCAATTCCCTATAACATCTACTAAAAATCTGCCCGAAAACCAGATTATAAAAGGCACCCAAATTTACTTCCCCACCCTGCAAAACCCCGCAAATTCCCGCCCCAAATTGAGCGCGGGAAAGTTGGACAACACAGAAATTTTTGAAAGATTCTTTCGCTGTGGGTATACAGAAATTTAATATATCTAAACTGACGTTTTTCACAATTTTTAATCTCGCTTTGGCCATTTGCCCAATCCCGAACACCCCCCGACGGCCGGTCACCCAAAAATCGATATTCGCCCACATCGCGTTCCCGCGCCACCCCCCGGGGGATGTCCCCTTGAAATGTGATTTGCATATCTAATTGGTGGACAATGGCCCTAATAGTATATTATTTTACTTAAGATTAATCAAGATTAAATTTTCCATTAGTTGAGTTTGTAATTCATTGAAAATCTGATGGTCCAATCTCGAAAGATCAAAGGTCGAAACCGCTCTAGCTTTTTGAATTTCTCCATTTTTCGTTACTTCTATACCAATTCAAGCGTAGTTTTTTATCAAGTAAATCGTCGGTGCGTTCTTTATTTTTGAATGACCGTAATCCGCGTTTGACTTAATCCGAGAAGCTCCATTTTCGAGGCGTTTTTTGATGATCTTGCGTTCATATTCTGGCTTCTAAACTCCACGATACCTTTAAATGGTTTTCTCTTGTATTTACACAATTTCTTCTTAAAATAGTTGATGCAACTGCCGGAATCCATGCTAATCTTCATGGAAAAATGACAAACGGTCCAATTTTCGGCTAATCCCCACAATCCGATGATTTTCATCCAGTTTCTAAGATTTTTTGGCGATTTTCCAACCTCCGTTTTTGCCTTTTCAATTTCCCCCTTTCGCCTCGAACATAATTGCCCTGACGCGTAACTACTGCCCTTTCTTTTCGTCTTTTCACAGGCTTTTTATCGCTTCAATTGTCCGGAAAACTGCACGTTCTCTTGGGCTTTTGTAATTTGTTGCTTCTTGTAGCCTCAATAGCTAGCTAATAGCTTCTTGCTGAATTTTATCGTACTACGATATAATCGCCTTATCTGAATAAATGCTAGTAGAAATAGGTTTTTGAAATTTCCTAAGAACCCCATGACGTTGATTATACCTTAAAGGTACACTAAAGTCTCGTTGGTTTGGTTACCGGCCGGTAACCGTCTGCGGAATAGAAAGAAAACAGGGTTACGGTAGGCGCTCGCCGCGGAGCAAAACCGAACCCTGACTGCCAGCTTGGGGCAGCGCCTTGGACCACTAGGCCAAGGGAGAGACGGGAAGGGGGGAAGGGGAGAGGCTATAAGAAGGGGCTGGGTCGGCTGCGGCAGAGTGCCCAAATTTCCTACCACCACCGAACTTTTTGAACGAGATTTTAGTGTACCTTTAACGCCTCTGAGCGTATTTTCTGCTTTTTTTAACGACCAATAGTTTATATTGGTTTTTATCAACGGCCGCTCTCTCTCTCTCCGTTCCGAAAATACAGTCCTTATCACACGTTATTGATGCCCCCCCCACAAAAAACTTTATGCTCTTTTAGGGGCGGATAAAATGAAGCGGAAAGATCGGAGGGAGACCGAGGACGTCAAGCCATCGACGTCTTCCAAAAATGAGAAGGAGCCCGCGTCGAAGAAGGGCCGGAAATCGAAGGGCGACAAGGAGAATCATCGGCGAAGCAGACGGAGTCCCTCGGTCAGTAATGAGAATGAGAATACGGTGGGTTACGGTGGAAAAGGGCAATTTTTAGTTGATAGAATGTAACAAAAAACGAAATTCACAAAACACTGCTATTTATCCGTATTTTTGGATTTTTCAAACTCCCAATAAGTACGGTCAAATTAGCCAAAAAAAAACCCTACGAAGCCCAATCGTTCTGGATTTGGCTTGTTCCGGTGGTGCTTTTCTAAAAAATGCCCCAACTCTCATAAAAATCGTTTTTAGGAAGATGGCTTCGACGCGAAGGAGTACAAAACCTCCTACTTCCTCCCGCTGACCAAATTGAACGACCACATCACGTGCCAGATTTGCAAGGTTCGTTGGAAAGTTGTAGCTGCGAAGTTTGTAGTTTGTATGAAAATCAAGACGATTTGAAGCTCTAAAAGTATCACATTTTAGGGGTACCTCATCGATGCTACTACCGTAATTGAGTGTCTTCATACTTTCTGCAAATCATGTTTGCTGAAGCATTTTGAGGTGAGCTCAACGAGAGGGCAATTTTATACCGCCTAGTCTTATCATTATTAGATGATACTCATGATGTTATCTCGCATTTTAACATCAAGGCAAACTAGTAGAGATTCTTGTGGATCAAATCACTTTTGTCCACTTAGGACAAGGACAACAATTGCCCCCAGTGCGGCGAGCTGATTCACCAGTCCCACCCGTCTCACTATGTCGCTTTTGACCGCACGATGCAGGATATTGTCTACAGGCTTGTGCCAGGTAAGTTTTATAAGTTTTAAAGCTATAATAAAGCCATTTTTAAGCCATAAATTGTAATTACTTTATGAAAATACGAAAAGCACGAAAACGACCAATTCCAGGAATGTTCGCCGAGGAAAAACGGAGAAGATACGATTTCCTGAGACGGCAAAATAAAAAGCAGGGCATTATCGATGAGCCGATGCCCGGGAAGAAGGTTAGTTTTTAGAAAAACGAATTGTGCAGCTTGCCATTCGTCAAATTGTAAATTGTAGAATTTATCAAATGTGTAAAAATCGTAAAATACATGTTTTTAGGAAGAAGTCCTCGATGTTGGTCCAATGTATAAATGCTATCAAACGAAACCGGAAGTGTCGCATCACCGGCAGGGAGACCAGGTACGAGATAAAAAAACTAAAGAAAACTAAAAACTAAACTAAACTAAAAAAATTCTTTAGAAAACTAAAGAAATACAGGGTGTCCCAATAAAAAAGGTCACGCTGGTATTTTGCTATTTCAAATCCGATCGACTTGAAATTTTGCACAGAGGTGCCGGAGGGAATTTAAAATGTTCACAGAAACTTTCAGCCCGATCGGTACAGTAGTTTTCGAGTTATTGCAAAAATACGGTTTTTCCCACACTTTAGCTTCATTTTTCCGGCTATCTTTTTGGACTTTGCATCAATTAACATAAATTTCCGGCTCTAAATCCCTTATCCTTCTGAACATCGGCGTCGTTAGCCCTTGTTAAAAATACTTAAATAGCTGATTTTCGAGCCGAATTTTGCGAAATAAAAAAATTCCTAGGATAAAAAAAGGGTCGGCGCTTCATTTTCTCCATACATTCCAGGGCTCAATTCCGGCGGAATCCAGGTTAAAAACGTAAAATAAAGTTTATTTTTGCTATAACTCGAAAACTACTCTACCGATCGGGCTGAAAGTTTCTGTGAACATTTTAAATTCCCTTCGGCACCTCTGTGCAAAATTTCAAGTCGATCGGATTTGAAATAGCGAAATGCCAGCGTGACCTTTTTTATTGGGACACCCTGTATTTCCCAAAAAGTTACGTTTTGTTGGTAATACGCAAAATACTTAATTACAAACGATAAAACGGGATAAAACCATTTTTAGACAATGGTCGAACTCTCCCCATCGCCTGGCCTTGGGAAAATCGGCCGTAATATCGTTAGACTACATTCCATGGCCACGATAAATACGATAAAACGGTTGGTTTTTAATTTTAACCAAAAAATAAGTATTAAAAAGTATCGGAATAAGTTAAAAATGCTAAATGTTTCAAGATACCTGGCGCTATGCCTCTGGAACGACGTGGCCAAGTACCAAGAGCTGGACGTGTTCTGCAACAACGAGCTGATGGGCAAGGATTTCTCGATGAAGTTTATCCGGATGACGAGGTGGGGAAAAGCTTAAATTTATGGAAAAAATAGGGTTGAGGCCAAGCACAATTAATTACATATTTATAAAATTTTTCAGTTTAATTTATCATAACAAAAATTCCAGATGGCGCCAAAAAGCCGCCGACGCCCCCCTCGAGCTAGAATATCGACAGCATTTGGATTTTTGAATGTCTAAAGTATTTATTGAATTTTTTGACGCCTTTTCGAAGAATATGGGTCCCGTTGTGTTGTCCCCAAGTTTTTCTTCTTTTTCTTTCGACTATTCCTGTTGCTTTTCACGACTCAACATTGCCTCGACCGATCTCGTCCTCCTCACCCGCCCCCCTCGGCCTTTGATGAAGTGTCTTTTCGCGTTTTTTCTCCATGCTAGGATATATGGTATTATAAATTTTTCATTATATAAAATTTGTTTAAAGCTAAAAAACGCACCGGATTGACACGGGGGGGGGGGCAGTTTATTAGCCAAAAACTTAAAAAGTCGAAAAAATCGAAGTTTCGGAAAAAAATCGGCCTTATTTATCGAAAAATTTGTAAAGTTTTCATGTTTAGGAGAAGTAAAGACCATCCAGACACATTCCACTGCCTATATTTGAAAAATGAGACGGTAAGATTATAGTTAGTGGCATACGTGCGAGCTCCAGCAAAGGCAAACCTTTCCTCTCGAACGCATTAGACGCCATTAGTAGCGTTTCGGAGCCCCGAGAAACCCGAACTCCGGAACCCCCATAGTTGGTTGGTGAAAGTCGGGGAAAGCTGGCAGCAGCCGACCGAGTCGAGGCCCCAAAAAAGTGTTGATGAATGCTTGTTTTTGCGTGGAAAAGCCACAGCGAACCCCGGCATCCTTGCCAGTCCGTTCCACCTACACCGACACCTCAGCCAGGTCGGAAAGCGCGTCGAATTTCACTGTCAAGACTTGGTCGCCATCTTCTCCAAGAGCGTCACTTTCAATTATCGTCATATCCCGGCGACATCTTAATAAATCGCAACAAAAAAAAGACTTTTAAAACCCTCATCTTAACTCTAACTATCACCACCTCGATGGAGAAAACCGCAATATTTCGGCTGATCATATTTTTGGCTACGTTTTGCGGTTTGGCAGTGGGTAAAAGTGAGTTTTACGCAGGTTTTCCTATGTTTCAACCTTTCTTGAGGCTTCCGTACGTCTAAAATATCTCAAAACAGATTTAATAAGCACTAAAAACTGAGTTTAATAATTTATATTGTTTAACGAAAATAGTTTCTAAAGATTCTAAGCTAAATTAATTAGTAAAAGTAAGCAAAAACTCAGAAATAATGTCGAAAATGTTCACACAAAGCTTGAAATAAGTTAGGAACTAACGTACAAACTATACAACGCCTACAACCAATTTTTTTCTATCTCTATCGAAACTCAAACTTCTAAAAAAAAGTTATTAAGCCCTAAACTGTCTAACTAAATATGTATTTTATAAAAACTCATTTCCAAAGAACTGTTGGCCCGAAAAACAGGTTTTCCCCTTATAATTTGTATTCTAGTCGTACGGGTCTATAACTGTGATCTCTACTGCGGCGATGGGCAATATTGGCCGTTGACGCAGTGTTGCGAGTAAGTTCGCGTTCTTGAAATTTCTACGTTACTTACTACGATACGTATACGTACTTTTCAGACGGCACGACTTCTTCGGCAAGGCCGGCGGCGAGTGCCAGGGCTCGAAGGCCTTTTGCGATATCGGATTATAAAAATTACAGAATAAAATATGAACCTGAACTCGACAAATCCCGGGTACGACCGGGCAGACATTACAAAGAAAACAAAAGTACAGGGCGCTCCCCAAACTCAAGGTCACGCCCCGATCAGCTGGCTAATTTTGCGAGGGTTAAAGAGTGCAATTTTGTCGCCATATAAAATTCGGTGCGTGTTGAAATGGCTAATATAAATAAATATAAACAAGCATAGGACGGTATAAAAGTCCTGGAAAAGTTCTCGTTTTAGCGCAAATCTAACAATGAAAACCCTAATTTTACTATACCTATTGGTCGCTGTATGTTTTTCAAATGCCGCCCTGGAAATGGGATCATTTGCTAATCCGGAAAGTCAACCTATGCCGAAAATAGAGCCAAAAATGTCGGGTTTTTTTATAAAATAGTTTTTCCCTAGTCTAAAGGCTTCATTTTCATAATTTTTGCGCATTTTCAGGAAGCGACACGTTGGCCCGGAATCTTTTGTAGCAACTAGGGGACGCCGAAATCCACGGTAAATCTTCCTTTTTGCTCGCTTGCCCAGAACAAAAATAAATATTATACTACTACATTATGAATATTACTAAATTTCTTTCAATTTTCAAATCTAACTGACAATTTAGATTTAGCTTCATCGTGCCACGCGACAAACGTCAATACCGATATCGTAGTTGGTTGCGCTATGGATAAATGTTTCTTCAGCAACAAGATTAAGTTTCGAAATTTAGAAATAGAAATTGGCACCGGTATCAGGCATAAAGGCAACTAATCGAGGGGCGGGGTCGGGGAAAAGGCAAACAACAACATTGGCAACCTAACAACGGGCAGTGTGTGTATGTGCAAAGTGGAATAGGCAAGTGAAAATTGGGGGCAAAATATAATAGATTTTTTCATAGAATTCGTTCTTCAAGCGGCAGGTATCCAACCTAAAAAAGCGTGTTAAACCCGAATTCGAGGAAAAAGCTTACATAAAATTGACCGAGGGCTCGATTGCAGGGCGGTAGTGTGCCGGTGGATCTGAAAAAAATCGTCATTTTTCTGAAATGCTAAAAACCTTAAAATTGCTTCCAATACGCGCATGGCGAACGTGTAGGGCACGTCGAGGATGCAGACGGACGCGTCTTGGCCATTTACACGAGGATCACTGAAAATTATAGCTTTAAAGTAAGAAACTCGAAAAAAAGGAAAACGAATTGCTTAAAGTAAATAAAAACCCACTCCTTCGCCGTGGATGGCTCGAAAACCTTGTACAACATCTTGAGCACCGGGAACGGGCGGTTCGTGTCGAACACGTGGTCGTTCTCCGAGCTCAGCGCCGTCGAGACGCTAACGTCAGAGCCGGTGGACAGGGTCGAGTTTGTCCGATGCCGTTCACGGTCCCTAAAATCCGAATAAAACGAGCTCGTCAAAACTACTTTTTCTCCGTCTTTCCGTTCTGGCGCTTGCCGCCCTGCTCCGTGTCAGAGATGGAGGAGCACGACGTCGACTTGCGGCGCTTTTTGCGGCTGAAAAGAGGAGGCGATAATTATTAAACAAAAATGTTAAAATTATAAAAAAAAAAATTAATTCACACGTGACATTTTTATAAAATTTATTTACCTTTGCCCGTTAGCCTGTTTGGGCTGCGATTTTGCCTCTTGTTTTGCTACTGGCGTCGGCTCGGGCTCGGGCTTCTTCGTGTCGACCATGACACCGCCGATCAGCACCATATAAGAGTCGAGTAGCCAGAGCTGGAAAAAATTTACGTCTTTTAACACAATTTTTTAGCTCCAAAAAACTCTAGATTATACACAGAAAAATGGACGATACTCACCAAAAGATGCGGCGTCCGATCCAACGACCGAATGACGACCTTCTGACTCCCCATCGTCTCGCAGCGATTCAGGATACACGAGCCGAAAAACGACGGCAACGAGGAGTATCTAAAAAAGCATCATAAAGCGAGAATTGCAGGCTTACGCTGAGCTCAAAAATGACCGCCCATTCACCGACAGACTGGTCGTCGCGTGATGAAGCTGGAGTATTCGAGGGTACACTAAAAAAATAGATTCTTAGAATTTATAAACGGTTTACCGTAATTAATCGCCCCGAGCTCTTTCTGGCAGGCCCCGCAGCGGACCGTGCGGTCCTTGACGGTGAGCGAGCCTGGGTTGGCTGCCTGAAAGGAATTATGAACTACAAAGTTATAAGATTTAGTAGCTAAAATATTTTTTTTTTTTTTTTTTTTTTTTTTTTATTTTTTTTTTTTTTTTTTTTTTTTTTTTTTTTTTTTTTTTTTTTTTTTTTTTTTTTTTTTTTACTCGAAAACGCTTTTTATTGGGTTTGAAAAGAGATGGAACCTCTGATGCAGCCAAAGGCATCAACCAAATTTTGCCTAAACTACGAATGAATTAAATTTTTGAACTTATTTGGCCATTTCCACATTTTTCACGATTTTATATTTTTTACGAGATATTATACGATAAATTTAAAATCATAAAAAATGGTATATATTTCGTTATACACTTCAAAAACCCCGCTAATAGCTCAGTACCGAAATAGTCGAGAGATTTACATACCTGCCCACATTTAGTAAGAGCCGTTTTGCAGTCTACAAATTTATATCTCGAACCTCTGTGGTGATGTGGGTGTAGGCGAACGAGACGACGACCTTCTGCTCGCCCGGTAACCACTCCGAGCTGGCCGTCGTTTTCTCGCCTAAAAGATGCGATAAACCCAAAAACTCTAACTCTACCTTTTGAGCACGAATGCGTCCCTGCGGCACAGCTCTCGCAATTGTAGCCGGCTTCCGGGGACAGCGTCAGCCAGTCGTCGGTTGGCAGCGAGCCAATTTGAATGGCTCTGGAAAGCAGAAGAAAGTAAGAAACTTGATTTATCGATAGCTTACCCCTTCTTGCCGGACATTAACACGTTTCCACACTCGTCACATTTCAGGTCAACCTAAAAAAAACAGATACAAAAGTTTTGTAGCTTTTACCGGATTCGTAGAGGCGCCCTCAGCAAATGCGTTAATCGCCGCCAGCGAGACGACCTCTTTGGCCAGCCGGGAATAGGTCTTCGGTTCTAGAAAACTACATTTTATTTAAGATTCAAAATTACCGATCGTTTTCTCACTCAATTGGGCCTTCACCTTGCACATGAAAACGCGACCGTCCTCGGCCCATGCTGGCGACTGGATGCTGTTAGGCTGTAAAAAATCAGTCATTTTTCTGAAACTAAAAATTCACCTTCAATGACAACGCCGCCAGATCCGCGCACAGCTCATCCGCGTCACCACCCCCGGCAGGAATCGTCTGGAGTCGAATATTCCCCTCCTTCACCCGGATCAACGTCGTTGGGGCTTCGCTGGACTGGGGTTTTCGTTTAGAACTTGACTCATACCTATCGTCACCACCCGATGCATCGTCCGGGCAGTCGATGAACAGCGTGGCGCATTCGTTGCCGGGCTTCAGCTCCATCACGAACGAGTTCGAGCTCCATCTGGGGAGTTTGGCCTCACAGATCGATGGGGCCGCTTCCTCCTCGGCTTCCTCCATTCTGAAATGTGTCTTGTTGTCCGAAGCTATTAGGAGGAGCGGAAACAATAAATCTATGTAGCTTCAACGGGTTTTTGGCTATATTTAATTTTTTTAAAGATGTTTTAAAATGGGTGTGACTATTCCCAAGAAAGCATGTGACTTGAGCGGATGTAGTAGCGCTATGTACCCAAGGTTTATTTTAGCGGCCAAATTTTATAAATCGCTAGAAAAAGTTCGCTGTAAATATATTCTGAACGTGTGTACAGAAATTTGATCTCTATGTAGACTGCTAACAAATCATTATTTATTAGCAAGCAAAGCCACAAAAAAAGTGGAAAACATTACAAGAGGAACATCAAGAAGAAGAGTAAAGGGCACATAAAATTTGACAAACAATCAGATGTTCCGAGGTTTAAAGGACTATTTCACGGACATTGTCGAATTATAGTGGGCGCCGAGGGAGATTGCGTGGCGATGGTAGGTGATGATGGCCGGCTTGTCGGAAGAGCCCTCTCCGAACTTGAGCACTTGCCCGTCGGCGTGGAGGACCTAGAAACAAGCGTTTATTATTATTCAACGTATTCTACCTCAATCTCCAACGGTATCGCCTGGGCGAGCGCGTTGATCTCGACCTCGCCGCCCCAGAGGCTGCTGTCCTTCTCCACTCGATCACAGTACTGCGCGTACGTCTTTCCGTTGCCCTGAATTGAAGGTTAAAAAAATCTCCGAAATCTTACCAATTCTTCCTCATCCAAGAAGAAAATAAAATCCGACTCGTGCTTGCGCAAATATTCGGCCGCCTGCTTTCGTAGCGCTTTCCCGGTAAGACCTGGAAAAAATTTAAAACTATAAAACCATTTTTCACCTTGTTTCCCATTTCTTGAAAGTTGATCGGCCAGCGCCCCGAAGAGACAATCGCCATCGGAGGGGATTTGGACGGAAGCCAGGTTCTAAACGCGACAAATTTAAGCTCAAAAAGATTCTTAACCTTTTCCGCTAGAATTCTGTGCATGGACTCCCATTCCTTCGTCTTCAGCGTATTTTTGGCGTTTTCCTCGTCCTCCTTGGCGGCGGCGGTGGCACGGCGGGCATCTTCATCTTTCTTTTCGCGACGAAGCATTGCCTAATTTTTCAGTTTTCCGTTGTAAAAAACCCCCAAACCTTTGATTTCTTATTTGCTTCACGATAAAACTTCGGGCCTTCCTCGCCAGCCACCTCATCGTCGGCTGCTTTCGCTGATGGGGATGCCTCCTCCGTCTTATCACCCACCGTAAGTTCGCTCATTTTCAGTTCATTAACCTAAAAAGCTCTTGGGTACAGAACGGCAATTATAATGGCACCTCTTTCTCATGGCGTTCCTTCATCGCCTTTTCCATCGAATCGGCCTGTTCATTAGCTTCTTTCTGCTGCTTTTTGTTGCCGCCTTTCGCTTTCTTGCGTAGATTTTGAATAGTTTCCTTAACAAATTAGTTGGTAAAATTTTCCTTGTTACCTTCAGATCTTTCTTCTCCTGTCGATGCCTGGCGTGAAGAATTTCTAGAGGCGAATCTCCCTCATCACCACTACCATTAGCGGAAGCTTCTATTTCAGCAGCGGTCATCTTTCTAAAAAGTCCTTGAAATCTGCAAAAGGGAAAAAGCAAAAGGCATTTCTCGGAAAAGTTTTTTTAACCAAAACGGAACTTTTCAAGCCTCTATTCATTGCTGGCATTTGCGCAATCATCAAAAAACCATTCGGCTGGCTTTACGTTTACCACAGAAACGAGAAACTCGGACGATTCATTCAAAAGAAAATTTATTTCAACAAAACGGTTCGTACATCACACACAGAAATTGAGATCAAAACGATACACAGAAAAACAATTAACACCCAGCGATGAAGGATTTGTATTGACATATCAATTGAACGAATAATATGTGAAGACATCAACGCCGTCAAATATGATTAAGTGGGGCGTGTCGTGTGGCTCTTCAGAAGCTGGAGTAGAGCTGGGCGACGGGTGGAGCGCGGGCGACCAGGGGAGGCGCTGCTTGGTGTCCTGAAAAAGCGGCTTGTTCATAAAAAAAAACAGTTGGAAAAAATATGGTGCGCAATCGAAAAAGGCAAAAATGGTAGTGGACTGTTAGGAGGGGAGGAGGATGTTCTAAATCTAAAAGAGGATCTAAAAGCTTCTAAAAAATGATAAAAATTCTTGTACACTATTGTAATAAATTTTTGCTTTCAGGTCAAAAAGGCGTTGAAAAAAAACCCCATTATATATTCTAAACAATACGCGGTTGAATCCTTCTTTACTTGAAAAACAAAACGCTACCGGAGGGTTCAGCCGATCGAGCAGCGCGCGCCGGTGGCCGACACTTGTGGCCAAGTAGAGGATGTCGTCGAAGAGGAGCAGCGACGGGCTGAGGCCCGACATGTACTCGCACAGCGCCACCGAACCGCTCGGCCATTGCCCGGGGAGGGCCTTCGCGAAAAGCCGAATCGGCAGATCAACTAAAAACATGAAAATAATGTGGACCACAAAATCAAGAATACCTTTGCAATGCTGGGGCCCAAAACGGGTGAGCAGCGCGGTGGCGGCGGAGATCAGGTGGTGCTCGGTGCGCACGTTGCAGACGGCCATCGGCTCCCAGTCGTCTCGAGGCACGGCAGAGTGGCCTTCTTGCAGCGCTTTTCCCAGCAGTAGACGATGGGCGCCCTGTTCGCCCAACGAGGCGTAGGTCCCGGTCAGCCGGATCTGGGGGCCGAAGATGCGGAGCAGGCCGAGCGGCTAAAAAAATGAAATTTTTGAAGCGTTTTGTGCAGTACCCATAGCTCCAAGGCGGCGGCGACGACACCACGACGACGCAGCGAGTGCACCTCCTCGAGCAGCTTGAGATGGTGGATGCCGTGCGGGTAGCGAGCGAGCACCAGGCAGAGCTCCCTAAAAAGAAAAATGCGAAGAAATTTTGTAATTACTCTTTGAACTGCTCGAACTCGGACATCTCGACGGGCGTGAATGATGGGTCGACGATCTTCGGGGCAGCCGGGAGCGTAGCGCCATCTCCACCACACTCATTCTGCTTGCCCGGGACGGCAGGGCTGCGCTTGATCAGTGGCTCGGGCTTCTGGAGAAGCAAAATTTTCAAAGTCAGGTGGGGTGGGGCGTACAGCAGCATGGCGGACGAGGAGCGGCTTGTGGCGGAAGCGGAAGCCGTCCAGCTTTCCCTGCACGTCGTTGGCGTCTTCGAGGCGGTAGAAACGGACGCGCCTAAATTTAGAGCGGCATATTTTTAAAAGAAGTTTCATCCAATCTGACTAAACTTTTAGTCCCCGAATTTTAATTCGCCTAAAAGGCTGAAATGAGGCATTCTTTGGTGTTTTCGGGCTTTTCCGTGGCGCTTCTTTTTCCGGGTAGAAAATGCGCAAAGCTTTAAATTTTTTAAAGTTCGATGTTTTTAAAAGTTTTAGTGAAGGGCAATTACCCAAAGTGCTGTTTGCACGAGCTAGGCATGCGCGGAAAAAAACAAGAGCTGGCCCTGGCGTCCGATAAAAGTGCAGCACGCTTTTTCCTCACTCGTAGTAATTTTTCAGTCAGTTGAAATTCGCTGAGTATCAGGAATCACTTGAAGCCTCATTCAATCCCTCACCAGCGCCGACAAGTAATGGCCACATCAAGCAGCGGCACAATGCGCCCCATCTCGTCGTTGATCAGCTGGCGGACGACGGCCTGTTGACTGTTGCCGAGGCGCGGCACGTTCATGAAGAGCAGGTCGCCCTGGCACAGCTCCTCGGACTGCAGCATCTGTCTCACCGTTGGGCCTTTCTAAAAAGGCGTTTTAGGAAAGTAAATCCAAGGAATACCTGATTCTGCGCGGCGAGTTGATGGCGAAGACGCGGGTCTTCGTAGACGCGCGTCCAGTAGTCCCAGCCGTCATCGGCCTCGCGCACGCCAACGTCAACCATCTGAAATTAGCATAATCTCGAATAATCCTAAGAAAACGAACCTGAAGCAGACGTCAGCTTCGGGTTTGGGAGGCGGATGAAATGGCATGGAATCCCGGGGCTTTTGAGAGGCGAAACGAATGCAAATCGTTTCGACATCCGGATTCATTCCTGAAAAAAGACTGCATTATTCAAAGCGGAAAGAGAAATTTGTAAAAAAAAGAGGCAAGAGTTTGCAGTTTCGGGTTTTGCAAGCAAGTTTTCCTTTGCGCCTCTCGCCGGCCCTGCGCGTCCAGAGTAGCGCCCCGTTCTTTTACGCGAGCTATTTACGGCTGAATCAGATGACGGAAAAAAGACAGCGGAATGCGATGGAATGTTTTCTTTTTTGTTGTTTTTGTGCTTTTTGTTTTTTGGCATCTTTGTTAGCGGCATGAAACCGGGAATCCGTAGAAATTGGTCGTGTTTTGAAAAGAACTGAGGTGTTTGGGAATATAGCCTCCAAATCGCTCCAAATCATGCATTTACAAACCAATTTTCCTCGATTTCTAGGCGTTTAGCCGTATTCTAGACTCTGAAAACCATCGCCCACAAAATTCTTGACAGCCTAGTCGCCCCGAACTTGAAAACAAATATTTAGCCCTTTTTTCACTGACCCCGTGATCTACAGGAATTTGCGGCCTCTAGAATAATTTTTTTCGAAGTAGAAGAACCATGCTTTCCACTGCGCGAACGTCAATTGATCGGCGCCGCTGCAGCAGTGGGGGTTGACGTCATTGTATTTGCCGCAAGGGTACGAAAGTGGTGTGCACCAATAAACAAGAGACACACCGGGTTTTGGGGAGACGCAGACGGCACAGCATGGCCGAGCCGGGAAACCCCATCAATGCACCCCATTTCCACCCCTCTGCCGTTATTGTCTTTTTGGGGATCTTGATTTCAAGTTTTTTTTACATTTGGGCGTGAAATAGAGTTGTTGTCTTGACAAGAATGTTGATCTCTATCCACTAACGCCTGGGATACCTCAAGCTATTCTACGCAGAATTTCCTAGTTTCGAAACTGCTGCCGATTGGCTACAATCCGGCTGATTTCCGGCGGTGGCACCTCGAATCCCATCTTTTTACTGTTCTTGTCATGGCGATAGCAATTTTGCTCAAGTGATCAGTAGCAACAACTGTATTGTAAACTGTTCGGCGATCCAAATTCCGCTTCTCGCGCTTTTTTCGAATTTACTAATCACATTTTGGGGATCAATAGATGATATTTGGGTATCTACACCTTTCTCTTCACCCTTATCTCAAGATCTGGCTTCACAAGGGCTGTGCCACCCGCGGCTATATTTTGATACTACGTAATAGCAACATATCTCGCGTCTTGACGTTTTTGAGTCACCAGTAATAGCTACCAGTTTGTGGTATTACCGCAATTTGTGCTCTATTTTGCTCAATTTTTCTGGAACTGCGTCGTCTCTAGGCTTCAAAATGTATACCTTCTCAGTTCTCAGCTCTCAATTTTGCCCAATTTTCAGGCGGAAACTTGGGTGAATGTTGCACACCTGGGTGAACCCTATAGGTGAGATGCAGAACCGGAAGGTTAGTCAATTCTCATGTTGGTTTTTAAGCCTTTATTTAGGAGCAGGTCAACGAGCTGGGCGAGGTGCTCGACGCCTTCAAGCACAAGTTGTCCTGGGCCGAGGAGAAGGCGCTGATGGCCGCCAACAACGTGTGCCTACTGGCACTCGTCGCAGCAAGGAATGGCAGCACGTCTACGGTGTGTTTTGCGCACTTTAAGCCCGATTTTTGGACCTTATTGTTATTTATAACAACTTATAAACTCTCAAGTTTAGAACGACGACATCATGGCCGATTTCGCCTACTTTGGTCGGCCCCTTGACTGCAAGACATGTGGACAGATAGTCGTTTGGAGGTAGGATTTCATATGGATGCTTTCGTATTATCGGGCGGCGACAAGGTTTTTTTCTTGTGGTGCAATTTTTTAAATATGTTTATCGGAAGTGTTTCTAAGCTTTTTTTACTCGTCCTAAACGCAAAAATCTGCAATTGTGTAGAAAAATAATCGGTTTTTCGACCAACATGCCCTTTTTGTGACCAAAATTTCGGCTTTAAAATTATCGAAAAGTTTTTAGATAGTTTTTCTAGCTTCAAATTCAGCCTTATGTTACTAAAAACGGTATGAAAATATTGCCTGCCTATTCAGTTGCTAGGCATTTCTAGACTTGTACAATTTAAATTAATTTATAAATTTTGTGCCCCCTTATTGAGAAAGCCCTTGATATTAAATGAAATTCTTGTTTTTAGGGGTGACACCTATCGATGTGCCCGGAACTGCAAATCGTCTCTGAACCCGAAGAGGACTCCATTCATCGTCCCGCCAACCGTCGAGGCTACGTCAGGGTGGTTTGCCCTGCTTGTTAATGTCGGTTTTTAAACGCAACGTTCTGTTTCGGCACCAAATTGACGTTTTATCGAATTTTTTTAGCGCTCGAAGAGGCGCCTCTACGGCGACCGAAACTACCAACGAATGACGGGCCCTATATGGCCAAATACGGTGTCACCTGCTACCGTGGCGGTACTTTAATTCCGTGAAGATATTGGGGGTTTTTTTGTAGGCGGTTGATGCAGCCATAGCGGCCGGTATGGCCGGTGCGCTAACGAATGTTCCCATCCCCTTTGCGGCCGCGCATCAACCGTCCTCGTCGACTCCTGCCATGTTGCGGTTGCTGGGTGAGGAGGCCGAAGTTAAACTTAAAGTTTCGGGGGAAGGAGGAAATTTCTGATCCAATAACATCGGCCAGACCGGATCTATTTAAAATTGAGTAGATTTGAATTGGAAAGTATAAAGCCTGAACTTAGTTTCTGTCACAAGTTTGTTTCCTTGCACTTCCTAGGAAGTTCAGATTTTTTGATGTAGGAAAAATAACCCCCTTGGAGCTGTTACATTAGATAACTGGGTTAACTATTGAGTTTCGACATAGAACGTCGAAAAACGTATCATGTTCATCGATGAAGCATTATAATATGCTCACAGACTATGTGTTATGCACGCCAAAACTATATATTTTATGAATTTACGAAAAAAAACTAAATAATTTTGAAATTCCAGCGCTGCCAGCCGGACCTGCTGTACCTCCTCCAGCGCCATCTACCCCTGGTCGAATCGTGCCCGCCAACCCACAGCTCCAACCCTCAGCCACGTCCACATCGCCTGCATCTGCATCCGTCGCATTTGTCGCCCCCGGCCCGGGCACCATTTCTCAAAGTATTTACGGGTTTCACGTTCCTTTTATCCCCCTTTTTTAGCCATCAGCACGCCGACCCAGAGCGGTGCCGTGCAGTACGTCGCCTCCGGACTTCCGCCCACCACCACCAAGCCAGCGGCAGCGGCTAGTACCTCTGTCCCTGGCGGCTTCCAACCGCCGCCCGGCCTCCCCGCGGCTTTTTGGAACGGCTTGGGCCTGCTCGCGCCGACAACAAGTATTTATAATCTTTTTCAAAAGTTTTTTAGCGTCGGCTGGCACTGCTGCAGCTCCTGGCCAACCGGCCGCCCCGCCGCCGATCCCTGCCTCGTTCTTCACCAACTTGGGCTTGCCAGCGCCTCCAGCAGGTTCGGTTCGGAAGAGACATTTTTCGGGGCTCGAATTGGCTTTTGGCAGGGGAATCCAATCTGGACAATGTTTACTACCTAAAAACTAACATTTTTGAACGTATCTGCTTATTTTTTAGAAGTTTCACGTTGCGAAGCATCCAAAAATTCGAGAAAATGCAAAAAAAAATCAATATTTTTGAACGTTTTTGCGCCTGGAAGCATCAAAATATCACAGAAAGATGGAAAGATCATAAAATTCGAGGAAACGGAATAAATGAACATTTTTTTGAACGCGTTATGCCTGGAAACGTACCAAATATCACGAAAACTTGGAAATATCCGAAAATTCGTGACAAGCGCCAAAAAACCGGCAACTATTCCCGGACTTTATCCATTTTCGGGGGGGGGCGGTAAGGCAGATAGGGCTTCCGAGATTTTTATGTGGCTACGTCCTTGAATAACTCGCTTTCTAGGCAACAGCAGCAGCATGTCCTTTCTGTATCAATCTCTCTATGGCCTCTCGCAGCAAGGTAAGCTTCTAACATTTTGAGACATTGTTGATTTTCAATTCTAGGCCCTACCTTTGCGGACTGCGTCTCGCTAGCCGGCGATCCGCTGCCGAGCCTGAAGGGACCTCCGCCGGGTAAAATTCATTTTAAAAATCAATTTATTTTTAGGATTACTCCCACCAGCTCGTAGCCAGAAATTGGGCAAAAATGTGGCCAGCGACTCGTCGGGAGCGCCAGGTTGGTCTCAGCGGCTTTTTCTGAGTTTGTTTTTAGTCTCGAAGACTCCGCGCATTGATGACGCTGATCGCCCGTCCAGTTCTGATGGTACTTTTTTTAGTAATTTGAGTGTTTGTTCTTTCACGTTATCGGGGGGGGGTGGACGTCGTCCTTTTTTTTCTTTCCCCTTTTCTTTCTTTTTTCCCGCTTTCCTTTTTTTTTGTTTTTTTTTCTTTTCCCATCAAAATGTATTATCCCTCCGGTTCCATTTCCCTTTTCCCACTGGGGGCAATTTTTGTACTAATCTAGAAATGCCTGGTGACTTAATAGGAAATATTTTTGATGTTTGAGTAAATTATACTATATTTTAGCTGGAAAAACTATCTAAAAGGCCGAAAAATTTCGTCAAGAACGACCATTTTGGTCAAAAATCGTTGTTTTTTTATATATTTTGCTAAAAATTTGTTAAGTTTTACGTTTAGAAATAGTAAAAGAAAGTTTAAAGACGCTTCCGTTATTTAGATTTAAAAAGGGATCCTTGGACAAAAAAAGCTGATCCCCCCGATAATGCGGAAGAACCTGAGAGTTTGTATTTTCTGAGCATTTCTGTAAAAAGTTTTTCTTTGCAGGAATGGACTGGGACTGCTCTCCGCCTCCGGCGGTCGTTTGCGAGCCAATACTAGATGATCAAGGCAGGTGGTAATTTGCTAGTGATTTTCAAAATCTCTTTTCAGGCATCCATTAATCTAGGAAGGTATTATAAATTTAAATTTTGTGATTCTCTAGAAAAAATTTTTTCAGGGATATTTCGGATTTGGATATTGCTCTTGGGGTAATCAAAAAAATTAATATAAAATAAGAACAATTCATAATTCTTTTTTTTGTTGCAGAAAGGGGGTATGTTTTGATCGAGGGGAGACATTTTTTCCGGTTTGGGGGCTCCTTTCTTTTGTAGCTCCTATCTTATTGGAATGAGGATGCTCCGCCTCATGTCTCTCCTTTTGCTTTTGCTTTCCCTTTTCGAAAAATACTAGATAATCAATTTGAAAATTGTCCCATTCCAAGCCACGCTGACCTCGGATTTTGCTGAAGATGCCGCGCCTACCTATATAAAGATCAAACTCATCAAGCATAAGAGATGCGAGAAGTGCGTTTTTTTACAAGAATCCAAGTAGTAGACGTTTTTAGCTACTGGCTAGTCAAGTCTTGGGGCCGCGTGAGCTCGCCGTGGGTGCAAGAGGGCGAAAATTGCAGGAACTTTGGCTCTTTGGATGATGCGACGGCCGGATTCAGAACGTACGCTTTTAGTCATTTTTTCATTTGTTTCTTTCAGATTATCCGGGGGGCACGTTTTTTGGTATTAATCTAGACATGCTTGGTAACTTAATAGGAATTGTTTCCTTACTGTTTTTAGTAAAATATTTGAACTGTAAAAATATCTAAAAATTTTCAGAAAATTCGAAATGAAAATTTGCAAAATTCAAGAAAGTTCTCAAAGAACGGCTAGTTTCAAGACTTCCAATATGACGTATTTTTAAAAACATTGTTTCCTAATCTAAAAGAATTTCTACCCCCTCCCCCAGATAATGCGAAAGAACCTCATTTTTTATTGGTATTGTTTTCAGCTTTTTCTACGAGAAGACCGGCAACAAGTGGGCCAACCGCGTCATCTTCGACAAGAAGCGCGACAAGATGAGCTACATGCCGGAGGAGACAGGCACGGATGTAAGTTGTTTTTATTGGAAGTCTTGTTAAATTCTAAAAATCCCGGCTTTTGAGAGCTCGATTTCCGCTTTAGAATTCGCTGGCCCGCTGCAAGTTGCGCGCGCCGGTGGCCGACCTGATACGGAAGGTGTTCAGCGAGGACTTTTTGAAGGAGCGCATGGTGGAATTCAAGGTTGGCGCCGTTTTATAGCAATATGGGGATGAAATTCAGATGTCGGCCAACTTGATGATGATGGACGGAAATACGAAGCACCGTATCTTGCTCGCCTACGAGACGCTGGACCGACTGCGCGAGGTATTTCCTATTTCCTATTTCTACCCGAACCCATTCATTTACAGAAATTTGAATGCGCCGAACTCCATAATCAAACCCTTTTGTTCCAAATCTTTCGCCGAATTTGTTGCCCGGTCTTAAAACTCTTTCCTACTGGGAATTCTGTCACTCTATTTAAATTCGGTTTTCGTTCGTTATCGTCTAAATTTCCCACGTAACTGAATTCCGGGTGACATTAAGAATTGATTTCATTTTGGACCCCCTGACAAAGGTGTCCGAATAATTTTCGGCGTAATGAATTTTCCGATAACATATCGTACTTTTCGTGAATTCGTAATCGTATTTCCCGATAATTTCTTTTTCTTTTTTCAGGCGGTTGAGCGCGAACAAACCAATGAGCGCAAAGCCCGCATCGAAAAAGACACGGCCGTCTTCTACGACCTGATCGCTCACATCGACCGACCGCCGCTGAATACCCCGGAGCTTATCCAGGTAATATTTTTTGAGGAAATTCTGAAAATGCAGTATTTTAGAAGAAGACTGACCAGCTCGCTGAACTCATTGAGCTTGCCGAGCTGCACGACATGATGACGCTGCACGGGGATTCGGGCCCCCGTCATATACTCGATCAGCTTTACGACCGGATGGGCGTCGAGATTATTGTAGGTTTTATGCTTTTCACAGGTTTTCGAATTTAAAATCACGTTTTAAAATTTTACGTTAGGTTTTAATTTTCCGAGTTTTCGACGTTTTTCTCATTGAATGTCGACTTTTTGAAGATTTTTTGTGAATTTTTTAAATAGAATTTTTTAATATTACTAAGTAATAATTATTAAAATATTAAAATTAATGACATTAATTATTAATAAATATCCCCTATAATAAACTGACATTTAAATTATATGTTGTGGTTTTAAATCAGATTTGTTTAAAGTTTGTTTTTTAGCCGCTGGAACGCGAGAGCGCCGAGTTCAACACCGTGCAGCTGTACATGCAAGCCGGCCACTTCCATAATTCTTGCCAAATCTTGGAGGTAAGGATTTTTTGTAGATAAAATTATTCCATGTTTTAGGTGTTCTCGATTCGTCGCCCCACGGAGGAGCGCTTCTTCCGGCACGAAATTGGCAACCGGAAGCTGCTGTGGCACGGCTCGCAGCTCGTCAACTACTGCGGCATCTTCACCCAGGGCCTACGCGTCGCCCCCAAGGAGGCAAAGCATGTAAGCGAGCAGGGGGGATTTTTAGCTTATTTCGGTGAATATTTTTTTGGTATTTAGAAACTTTCAATCAAAAACATATAAAACCCCCTCTAATAAAGTCATTCTAATAAAATTCTCGGTTCTTTCGCATTATCGGGGGAAACCTGGGAAGGTTTGGTAACTCTAATTTGGAAATAGCCTTTTAAGACGTTTTTAGTAAAATAAAGCTATTATTTAACTGGAAAAGCTATCTAAAAAATTTGATAGTTTTGGAAAAGCGGTTTTGGACCAAAATTGTTTTTTGGTCTAAAATAAACAAATTTGTACATTCGTGTTCTCAGAGAGAATTCCCCCATAATCAAAACAACCAATTCTAGAATTTTCTTTAAGGAATAGCAAACCTATCTAAGCGAAAATACGGTATCTATATCTTCATTTAGACCGGCCACTCGTTTGGGATGGCCATCTACTTCTCGGATTCGTTCGACAAGTCGGTGCACTATTGCCGCGCTGGCCCCGGCGAGGAGGCGCTGATTCTGCTGTGCGAGGTGGCGCTCGGAAAGGTACACCTATTTCATATTTAGTTATTTTTCTTGATTTTTAATAACTGTCTTAATAGCAAAAATTTTGACTTAAACTCTCTTGAGCTGCTCGTTTTATGCCATAGGCGATGAATCTTCATCATTTTAAATTCCAGATCCAATCGCACGGCGTCAGGGACTACTTATACGGTTCGGCCGGCGAATTCGACTCTTTTTTTGGTATGGATTTCATTATTTGATGTTTTATCAATTGTTCATTATTCTACAACTTTCTTTGTTGATATTTTAGTACTAATCATTTATTTATTAATAACAATAAGTATTTTATTTGTTTTTCGTTTAGTTGCCGGCACGGCAACGCCTGACCCGGCTTGCGACGTGCTCCACAACGATGGCTACATCATCCCGGTCGGCCCGCTGAAGTCCGCGGTGCCCCTTGTGGGGTCTCTTTACAACGAGTAGGTTTTTTGTAGTTATTTTTAGGTACTGGATCGTTAGCGGGGGGGGGCAGGCAAGATTTTAGCGGGCAATGAAAACCAAGTTGTTTTTTTAGTTTATTTGCATGTAGTGTAGTTTTTAGTGTATTTTGCCACCTTGCCAATGGAACAGTGTTATACAACTGTTTTTTTGACGTTTAAAAACGGATTTTCGAGCATTTTTGGCCAGAAAAGTCGTATAAAATTAATTTTTAAAGTTAAAAAACGGAATTTTTAAAGTTTAAAAATAGGATTCATGATTTTTAAAAGTTTCCGAACGTTCCTAATTACGTTTCTATACCTAAAAAGCTAAGATCATTTCACTGATTGCAATTTCATTATTTTACCCCCCCCCGGTAACGCTCCAGTCCCTCTTTTGCTTTCAAAATATCGTCAATTTTCAATAACTCTTTTTTCCAGGTACCTGGTCACCCAAACGGACCAGGTCCGCCTGCGCTACATCATGCGACTGAGGGTGACCGAGGATTGTCGCCCGTTCTAATTACCTCCCACAAATTTGCTGTATTTAAATGCGCTTCTTTTCTCGCTGTTCCCGTTAGCTTCCAATTATAATTTATCATTATTTGCATGGCATTTTTCTCTTCGATAGCATGTATTAAATTATATACCTCCCCCAACTTATCGTGTTACACGTTTAACGCCCTGTTTTGGGCTGGCCCCTTCTCGTCAGGTAGCATGTCAAACCTGCCGCACCCGATAGCCACGATTTAGAGCATACTTAATCCTATTCAGGGCCTCACCTCACTGCAATTTCATCTCGTACAAATCCTTAGTTCAATTGGTACTACGTTTTCCATTTCCGGGCCGTCACAAGGCTTGAGATATGTTATTCGTCTCACGTTTCAATAAAGTTCTCGGTATAACGCTCCCGCAAAATACAAACAAATGATGGCGGTAACAGGATATCCCTTACATATCGGCAGAAACAAGAATTTGAAGTGGATTCGATGGATGTTTCTAAATATTAAAATATTTTTGATTAATTCTTGATGCCTGTCCGAATAGGTGGCGTGTCCGGTTGCCAGGGCACCTCGGGTTGCGCCGTTTGGAGGGTGGGCGTGTCGCCGCCCAATCTTTGTCAATCTAAAATCTGATCTTTTGCTGGAAAATGAACTATAAATCTAGCCTGATCGCGAGGTTGACTCTTTATTTTAGGATTTGATAAACGCGCGCAAAAATGGTTGTATATTTCGCGAAATGGCTTATTCAGGCCACGGCACTTGCCGAAAACGCGGTTTTTTTGTATCCAAGAAGCTAAATAAAGGCCATAAATGGATTCAGCAGGAAAAACTTGCTGGGTTTAGTGTTTTTTAGTCAGTTTTAGTGGAAAAACCGGGTTTTTTGATCCCGTGAAATTCGTGATTTGAAACGACGACGTTTTTATAAACATCTTTTTTTAGGTAAAATGGCGACCCCTCCCGGTCGACCCCGGTCGGACTCGGTCGCCTCGGAGCGGATGACCGACAGTCAGGAGATGGTCGCGAAATATCACCAGGTAAGCACAAGTTGCTCTAAAGAAATTTGAATGTTGGAAAAATTGGTCCAGATAAAAAATTTCAAGAAATCGATACTACATAGATGGATTTACGTTAAAAATCATGTTTTTTTAGTCCCAAGACTACCACCTCCACGCCCTGCACGTCGCCATCCGGACCAAGCTGCAGCAGCCGCAAATCCTCAACCTGTGCCACTGGAACAACGCCGACCTCGGCGTCACCGAGAAGGAGATTGAGAAATCGGTGAGCAGGATAAATTTGATGTAGGAATGAGATCCAGCTTTTTTGAAAAATTTTTTGAAGTGACGCTTTAAATTTTGATCTTAGGTTTAATAGAAAAATTATCGGTTTTTTTCGCATTCTCGGGGGGGTGGGGGGGCAACTTTTTTCTAAGGATCTTTTGCTAATATAAATAGAGTAAGTGTTTCTAATCTGGTTTGTCTTTGGCCTAAATGAAAAAGTGTTGCAAATTTCGAATAAAAAACACAAATAATCACGATTTTTCGACCAAGAATGGCCGCTTTTCAATCAAAATTTCACCTAAACAATTTTTCGAGGTTTTGATTGCTTTGCCCTAAATAAGTTAAATTTTCCGAAAAAACGCTATTTAAGCACTTTATTATGCTACTAGACATTTCTGGACTTATAGGAAAAAGGATTTGACTCCTCCCCCCGATAATGCAAAAGAACCAAATGATCAATTTTCACGAGTTGTTGTCTTGTGTTTTCGTTGTGTTGCGCTGATAACCCGAACCTCTAGACCGCAAAACCTGGGCCGGGCAGGCTGAATCTAGACTACGGACTGGGCGCCCAAGGATTTTTCGATGTAATTTTTCGACAATTTTTCTAGAGCGGAATTTTAGGCAATGTCGCGGTTGAAGGACATGGCGCTGTTTGGGCGGCCGTTGCCCTGTAGACGGTGTGGCGGGCGAATTACGTGGAAGTACGTTTTTCACATGGGATTCCTTAATTTCGATTTAGTTTTGTCAACTACAAATGTATGGGGAAGGACTGCGAAGAGCTGTTCTGGAATCCGCCGCGAGCCCCGTTTTTTGTGCCCCCGAATTTGGCACGGATATTAGGAGATGATGTTCCGATAAATGTAAGGTTTTAGCGGCGATTTCGGACCTTTTTTGTTTCACTATTTTATGTATTTCACAGGTTCTTTCGCGTTATCGGGGGGGGGATCGAAATTTTTTTATGATTCTAGAAACGGCTAATAACATAATAGGAAGTATTTTTGTAGCGTTTTTAGTACAATAAGACTATATTTCAGGAAGAAAATATATTGAAAAATTTAAAGGTTTGAAAAATTCGAAATTTTGGTCGAAATTTTTTTTATATATTTTCCAATAAAAATTTGTAGTTTATGTCTAGAGGAGAAAAAAGTGTTAAAAAACACTTCCCCAGTTATATCCTTACAAATTCGATCCAAAGAAAAAAGCTGGTTTGCCCGGATAACGCCCCCGCCCCGATAACGCAGAAGAACTGCTGCCGTTTTTCGTGAAATATTTGTTAAAATCTTCTTTCTTTAAATCCAATATACGTACAGTACCTTAGTTTACAGTTTTACAGTCCGTATATTGATGCTGTTTTGCTTATAACGCAGCGTTTTTAACTACGAAATTTCAGTGTATGGGCCGGCGGTACTACATGACGGATGAGTTCATGGACGCGCAACGCCTTGAGCAGGGCTCCCTGTGGACAATTGACGAGATTGATGATGGTGAGTTCTATTGGCTTCGCGGGATGGAGGCCCTTTTAAATGGAGAGCAATTTTTAGCGGGCATCCAACGGGTCGGGCCGAGCTGGGAGCAAGAGTTCTACTTTCTCTACCAGACGGACATGATGGCCGATAGCGAAGGTGGGGTTTTAGGTTGACCGGCGCCAAATTTGGGGTGGAAATAATTATTTTCAAGTTTCAGGCGATTTCTACATCGCTCCACTTTTCAAACTTACCTCCAAGGACAAAGAGCACAGCGCCGAGTTCATCTGCATAGAGCTGCGCCGACATTATCGAGAACAGAGGTTTTTCGTTACTTTGGACCTGTAAACTCCTCTTTTTAGATGGTTCTTCATCAAAACCTGGGGCCACTACCAGGCGCAGAAGGAGCGCGAGTGCGTCTACGAGTTCGAGACACCGCAGGCGGCCATTGAGCATTTTCATAGGTTGTGGTTTTGCCTGGATTCTCATTATTTATTGATTTTAGTAGTTTCCTACGACAAACCGGGAATCATTGGAGGGACCGGAAGAGTTTCGAGAAGAAAGAGGACAAGCTCGAATATGCGCCGCCGGAACAGGTAAGCAGCGTTTTGAAACAAAGTTAAACAGCTATATTACCCAAAATTTATCATTTATGTTAGAAAAACGATATTTTATTTAATAAAATCAGGCCGTTCTTCCGTGAAAATGAATGACCTTTGTAAAATAGCTAAATACATGTTTTCCAGATGCCACCAATCACCAAATCCGGCCTCCACCCCTGGGTGGTCGACCTGTTCCGCTGGGTTTTTGACGAGCACCGGATGAAGATGCTGCTCGGCAGGATCGGGATCAACACGAGAAAAATGCCGCGAGTCGCCCTGACCGGCATCAACATGGAGGTGGCCGCCGGGTGCTTGGAGCGAATTCGAGATGTATGAGATTTTTGGCCATTTTTTTACCCTTGATTTTAGGCCGTCGACGAGAACGACGAGGACTCGCACACCGAACTGATCGAAGCTGACCAGCGCCTCTTCTACGGGATTCTGCCCTACGTCAACAGGTTGAATCTGTTCGACGAGGAGAGCCTGGACACGGTAAAATTGCTTCGCGATTCGTGGGTGTAAAATCCCGAATTTTTTTTTAAACTCCCTTTTTCGAAATTCCGAACGCCGAACAGCCGGGATGCCCCGAAATTTCTTTTGTCGGGGGTCTGGTTTTTTTGGGGTTGCTTTTTTGATCTTCCAAATTCAATTCTCAATGTGGGGTTTGTCGACATTCCCGGATTTCGGCATTCGAATTCCGACATTATAAATTTTGGTTTTTTGGAAACCCCATGGAATTTGGGTTTTGAGTTACGGGTTTTTTTGTAGATGATTGAGCGGATGCGGCCACTGCGCGAGCTCGGCATTATGAACAAAATAATGATGAGCTGCCGGTACGACTATGGGGTCAATCCGCTGGACGCGTTGAGGATGAAGGCCGGTCCGGATATCAAGCTACGGGTACGCTATTTATACTGGGATTGAAATTCTGTTTCCGGGGGTTTTTCTAAAACGGAACAATTTTACACGAACAAACTTTTCAGATACTCGACCGCGCAAAAGACGAATATCGCCAGGTGAAGGCGTTCATCGAGAAGAGCATGCCGGAAGACAAAGCGAGGGTTATGGATGTCGGTGTTTTTTTACGAGTTCACTATTCGTATTTTAGGTGATCGGCTTCGAAAAACGGGCCGAGACGGACCCCTACCAACGGCACGTAGCTAACAGGACAGTCTTGATGCACGCCACCAGCTTCTCCCATTTCGGCACCGTCCTGCTGTCCGGGCTGCGGTTTCCACAATGGGGAATTGTGAGTTATATTTATAATACCAATATTAAAAGATTGCAAAGTCAATCTTAAGTATTTGTAGTGTCTTTAGGTAAAATTTAGCCTAATTTAACCCGGAAAATGTTTGTACGTCTAGAAAAATTTAAAATTTTGGACGATTTGGCGACTTTATACGAAAAATCCAATTTTTCTTTAATAAAAATTTGGAATTTTTGAAATTTTGAAAGAGTAAATCAAAGAAAGAAAGAAAACATTCCCTCCATTGTATGGGAAAAAATTGCTGTTTTCAGCGCGATCCAGTGTACGGCCCAGGCCTCTACTTTTCCGACGCGTTTCCGGTGGCCTTCCTCAACGAGGACCACGAACGATTTGCACTGTTGATGATTTGCGAAGTGGCGTTGGGAACGGTACGCTTTTTTACGAAAATTAAAAATATCCATTTTCTAGCAACTCGTCATCGAGGATCGGCGCGAGGAGAATTGGTTCGAGATGATGTTGGCGGTCAGGGCACAATCAGTCTGTGGTAAGCGGTCTTTAATTTTATTTTTATCTATTCTAAAAGCTTTAATTTCACAATTTTAATAGAATTTTGTTTAAAAAGTTGAAATCTATAGAAAGATTCGTTATTTTCTAGTACTCTCCGAGCAGCAGCGCCCACTCGCCGAAAAAGACCCGCTCGGCTACACGGTGAACGCGAACCGGGTGATGAGCGCCTTCTACAAGGACTACCAGCCCACGTACAACGAGTTGGTTTTTGAGGGATTTTTGGGTTTTATGACAATAATATTTTTGTAGTGCTTATTTAAGCTGTTATTTTCAGATACGTCGTCTACGACCCGACGCAGGTCAAGCTGAAGTACATCGTGAAGCTGGACACGGACTGGGAGGAGGACGAGGACCGGGCGGCCGCCGGGCTTCCCCCTTACCTCCAAGTCGAAAATCAAGTGCCCGACCGGGCGGAGGCGTTCGAGGTGAGTGATAGCGTTATGCGAATTTTTCGTTTCTCTCCAATTTTTCTAATATCAGTCGAGGAAATGTTTCTAAATCGTTTTTTACTATTCCAGAACGTAAAACTTTACGAATTTTGATTAAAAATACAAAAAAATGGAATTTTCGACCAAATTTCATCTAAAAAGTTTTCTACTTTATTTTGATGGTTTTTCCCATTCAAATATAGTTAAAGTTTGCTAAAACGCTATTAGAACACTTATTATTCCGTTACTAGACATTTCTGGACTTTTAGAAATCCTCCTCCCCCCGATAATGCAAAAGAACCTGCAAATTCCTTACATAATTCTCAATTTTCCAGACCGACGAAGAGTCAACGTCTGAAGAAGATGAGGATGACGACGAGGAGGATGAGGATGAGGACGAGGATGAGGAGCAGACCGACGAAGACGAAGAGGAGTCAGAAGAAGATGCCGGCGCCGCAGTCCCCGACCCGAGCCCGAAACGATAGTAGCGTTGCGTAGCTCTTTTTACGGTTTTTTTGACCATTGTTATCCCCGGATTGTGCTTTCGCCCCCAAATTTTAGCTGTTGAATTTTATTTGTTGCTTTTGAAGTTCGTCACCCGCTGTGGTTCAAATCCCTTGCCAACCCCCGACCATTTTGCCATTCCGCACTTTCTGCCCTGCAATTTCCTATGACCTGTAAATTGTATTATCTCGTTGTTTTGGGGTCATTATGGGTTTTTGCGTGCTGGTAGGGCCGTTGCAATTTCCGAAAGAATCGCTGCTAGCCTGCCTTTTGTACGATTCTTTTTACGCGATTTTCTAGCTTTTTTCAAATCATGGAGTTGGAAAATTCCTAAATAATCGCTGCTAGCCTGCCTTTCTGTCTGATTTTTTCTTATGATTCTTAATCATGACGTTAAGAATTTCCTAAATACGGCACTTTGCTTGGGCTTGTTTTTCCCAAGTGAAATTTGCCAGCCTGCCCTATCAGCGCGCCCCGTTCAACTACTCAACTACCATATCCTGTTTTGATCCTCCATTTGTTACCCTCCGCCCCCCCCCCCCCCTTGCTAGAGCTTTTCCCCCACCACATCTCCGACCAATGCATATTTGCGCAATCTACCTGTGCGTTTGTGATTTTATCGTTTCTCAAATTTTTTAGCCCCGAGTTGATAGATTGTTGTAATTTTATCACTGGTCCAATGATAATTCCATTCTGATGCCAATAAATTGTGACGTTTTTGATTCTTTACGTAGTTTTTAGCATGTATTTTTTCGCTCTCTCTCTCTCTCTCTCTTTCTCTCTCTCTCTCTTCACTCTCGTGGAACAATGAAATTTCTCAGAAAAAAGTGAGGACGACATTCATCTTGATCTGGTGAGGGAGGGCAGATTCAAATTTAGATACCACGAGGTCGGCCGCGGAATTTCGAACTTTTGATGGCGAATCCAGATTGCGGCGACGAATTTCAGGTGGAATATGGCCTCCATAACTTTTTAACGGTTGAAAATCAAGCATGGTCGTCTGCAGAGCCCATTTCTCGTTGATACACTTCCGCTTTTCAGCTCTTTGAGGTTTTTGGAGCAAAAAAAGCGTGCCGCGCCCCCGTACATCGCGCTGCCCTAAAAAAATCGGGGTTCGAACAATATGCGCTTTCTTCGGTGGTGTTGTCCCCCCGTATATTTGCATAACCTATTTTTTTTCAGGGGAAGCTTTGTTGTTGCCCCGATTTCAACGGGAAGCTTTTGAAGCAGGATGTAGTTTTTGGGGCTACGTCACAATTTCTGGTAGAAGTCTCGGAATTCTGGTTTTTTTGGAATTCTGGAGAGTAAATTCTCTCTTTGGAAACAAATATAGCAGGAAAATTGCAATTGCAATTTGAAGCTACCTCCCCTATTGCTTGTAGGAGGTAGCTATCCTGCTTTATTGTGGTTTTCCGATGAGTGTTTCTCAAAAGTTTTCAATGCTTCGATTTTAAGCCTCGTCTAAATCGCCCTTCCTTATAACTTTTCTCATGGGTTTTTAGCCGCTAAGGTAGCCATAGCATTTCAACGATACGCCGTCACAATGATTTTTTTTTGAGAAAGTATGGCATCGGCTCGTCTTGAAATATACTTTTGGTTTTTGAAACCAAATACGTGTTTAGAGTTTTAATACCTGACGGAATATAGCTAAAATGCTAATTTTGTACATTTATCGAAACGTAGTTGCATTTCAATTCATGTCCCAATATCCACAGCACTTTCCTGGAATGACGATATTCCAGTGGCCCCCGCACTCAACTAGCGACCGTTACGCAGTGACCAAGAAGGACAACACGATCTCTTTTTCGATCTATTGGGGCTACAGGTGGGGGGAGAGAGAGAAAAAGAGAGGGCAGCGACAGCAACTAGTCTTGTTTCTTTTCTTTCTTTGGCTCGTCTCCAGCCAGTTAGTCCATTCCTGCCTCGCACCACCATTCCTCATCTATCTTGACTCATAAGCATGCTGCTGTGCTACAAATACGACATAATTTATGGCTCGTACTTTCTCGACTTGGACTACTTTTCTTGGAGAAATTTGTCATTGAAACACCTGGAGCTTTAATCCTTCAAAAAAATATCTATCTCTCTCTGTCGGTATCTATATCTCTCCCCTTGATCTCTCTCTCACGCTCTCTCTAACTCTCGTTAAATTTTTATATCTTTAGCTATTTCTCGCTTTCTAAACATCATCTGTTTCGCTCACTTTCTATCTCTCTCTCACTCTCTCTCACTCTGTCGCAAGCTCTCTCTCACGCTCTCTCGCTTTCTCTCTCCAGTTGTCTCTCGTTTCCTAAAATTCGCCTTTTTCTTTCTCGTTCTCACTAGTTAATTATCTCTGATTTTTTTTTGCATTTTAAAAGCTATGCTAAAACCGTTTTCAGGCCTTTTTCACGTCAAAAATTTACATATTTTTCTACCACCCAGGCTGCCACTTAACTCTAGTACCCACAAGTACCCTTTTTCCGCAAAGCCATTGAAAATATCTCTCCACCGGCTCTTCAAATTTCGAGTGAACACCTTGATGATGATGGGGCTCAGAGAGTGAGAGGAACCGAAAGGGAAGACTGAAAAAAAGATGAAAATTCCCTTTCGGGACTCGACTCGGGCGTGTAAACCCCTTACGGGAGGGAAATCCGCGGTCTGGAGGACACGCGCGGCCAAAAAGTGTTTGTGTGTGTATTTGCCTGTTTGTCTTTCTGTCGATTTCGGGTGAACGTTTCCGGCGAACGCCTACGTGTTTTTCGCCCCGGAAATTCGGGTTTAAGGTACTCATTTTGGGTGTTGAATGGTGGAATCGACGTAGTATCTTTTGATTTCCACAAGTATCATTGCTAGCTTGCCAGATCTGGTTATATTAGCTCTGTACTACCATTCCTCAACAAATCTCCGCAAGCATGCCCCTTCTTACCGAATCACTGTCCCCATTCCTCGGGGTTTCTTTGCTAGCTGGCTTTCTCAAAAAAACCTCTGCTTGTCTGCCCGGCCTCATGAAGTGAGCTATTTAAATTCCTCAAAGAATCGCTGCTTGCCTACGCTCTCTGAGTAATATTGCTTTTTGCGCAAAGAACCTTTGCTAGCCTGCCAAGGTACTGTGTACTCTACCGAAACAAGCATCAGAAAACCGGCTAGTTTCAGGTTCCTCAAAAAACGTTGCTAGCTTGCCCTTTTGATGGAGTAACATAAATGTTAACGAAACTAGACCAGATTAGAATTCTGATTTTCCCGATACTCTCCACTAGGTTGCCTACATTTTGGAAAAAATTACATATATTCCTTTTCGACAAATGGTAAAACAGTAAAGCTGTTCTTTACTACCATTTTGTCACGGTAATAAAAGTGTTCTTGTGCTTGGGATTCCTCAATAAGCTCTGCTAGTTGACCGCTCTGGCCATTTATTTCCTTTCTCGTCCTTGATCTTTACTCTCAATTCTCCAGAAAATTCGAAGAGCATCTCTGGATCGTGTTTCAGACACTTTCTATTCTCCAAAATTCCGAGCACCTTGCAATTTGAAATCGTTTTTCATCGGAGCGCCTCGTAGTCCTACTACCACTCTCTCGCCAGCCGCGAATTTCGCGCTCTGCTGCTTTTTGGTGGGGGCCTCGAAAACTACCTTCCGCTATTGTTCGGCCAAGGGGGGTTGGGTCCTGGCAGGATTGGGGGAGAGATGTGAAAATGTGTATGTATTGGATTGGATTCGAAGGGATACTTTGGGTCTTTTATGGCGGGAGGAAAAACTCGTTAATGCATTTTATTGGTGGCCTGTCCGGGGTGCTGCTCCCTTGTAGTCTGGTGCTCAATATCCACCAGAAATTTCAACTTTCTTTGCGGGGCCATCTTTAAAAAAATTTATTATTTACAAAAAGTCGAGGCAAATCTCACCCTTTCTCTTGCTGGAGCGCTCTCCTTTCTTCTTTCTCTCTTCTTCTCTCTCTCTCTCTCTCTCTCTCTCTCTCTCTCTCTCTCGCGCTCTCCTCTCTGTCGCTCTCTCCTGTCTTATGACCCAATGCCCTTATCGAACACAGCGTAAGTGTCTAGGCCCAGTCGGCGTCGAATTTTGCACTTCCTAGTCCCTTTAAAAATGTTTTTCAGACAAAATCCCCTAAAGACAACATTTCCTACCTTGATCTTCAATTCAAATCTTGAAACCCCCTGAACATTCCCCTCATCTTCCCTCTGCTGCACAGTTTCTACACGGTCAAGGTTTATGGGTTTCGGCGGCTCGTCCCGGGGCCCGTTTCCGAGCCGTTTTTTACGGATTTCCGCGCGCCGTAGTTTCCAACGTTATTTCGGGTCGTTGAAGATAGAAACATAGAAACCATTAGGCGGTAGTTTGGGTGCGATTTAGAAATTCAGAGCTTAGAAGTTTTATCCGACAAGCTCTGGGAAGTCATTTAAAGAGTGTCTCACTCAAAAATTTCGATTAAAAAAGCTATATAAAAATTATGGGGCTAGCCGGCATAGAAACGTACTCTTTCCCGGTCAGTTTTCGGCAAGTTCGATTGTTTCCCAAAGTCCCTGAAGTCAATTTCAATCGCGCGTCAGACCATATTTTGGTGTGGTGCCTTAGCTGTCTAGATCCAGCCCAATGAAAGGGTGGATTTTCACGCTTATTCGTTCCTTCAAAAACGTTAAAATTCGGTTTTTTTAAGATATATTGCTGCCTAAAGAACGTTGTTTCGAACAAATTCGACCCCCATCTGCTGATTCAAATCAGCTTCCCCAGCTTTAATGATCCCCCATAAAATCGACATCACGAAAAGAAAAGACAAGCAAATGAGCCGCACTCCCCCTGTGGGCAAAAAGGGGGAGAGGACGGTCCATCATGAATCAGCTGGCTCCCCCCAAAACGGGACGGTGGAACAGGTCCGCCCCTCTTCTAGCCCCCGATCACCCGTTGCATTATGGCTTCTGTGTCTGTTTCTCTGTGTATTTTTCTGCTAATCACTGTGCCTGTGTTTGTTAATAATACCAATGACA